GTCCCAGCTACTTGGGCGGCAGAGGCAGGAGACTCGCTTGAGCCCAGGAGTTGAGGTTGCTGTGAGCTGTGATGCCACAGCACTCTACCCAGGGGACTGGCTTGAGGCTCTGTCTCAAAAAATAAAAGAAAAAAAACCTACCTCCCTGACTAATGGAGAGTGCTGACTTTTTAGTGGGGGGGGGGCCTTCCCCGCACTGAGGCTAGTTAGTGAGGGAAGGTGAGAGTTGGTGTCAGGAAGTGTCCAGGGGCCTTTGGAGTCTGAATTTCTTGGTCTTGCAGAAATACTGTCATTTCTGGGGAATGACTCAAAAAGGTCAAGCAAGTAGTTAGTTACAAGTGACAGCGTTCTGGTTATTAAGCCTGACTAGCCTGAGAATCTAAGCAGTGGTTCTCAACCTTCCTAATGTGTGACCCTTCCTAATACAGCTCCTCATGTTCTGGTGACCCCCAACCATAAAATTATTTCCATTGCTACTTCTTAACTGTAATCGTAATGTAAATATCTGATATGCAGGATGTGTTTTCCTATGGTCCAAAGGGGTCGTGACCCACAGGTTGAGAACCGCTACAAGGGAGTGGATTATAAAAAACGTAGAGGGGGTCATTGAAATGTGTTCATATAGCTGGTTATATTTTATTTCTCTCTCTCTCTCTCTTTTTTTGAGACAGGGTCTTGCTCTGCTGCCTGGGGCCAGAGTATAGTGGTGTCATCAAAGCTCACTGCAACCTCAAACTGCTGGGCTCAAGCCATCCTCCCGCCTCAGTCTCTCAAATAGCTGGTACAACAGGTGTGTGGCATCATGCTCAGCTAATTACATTTTTCCTAGAGATGGGGGTCTCTTATGTTGCTCATGCTGACCTCAAACTTCTTGGCTCAAGCAATCCTCCTCCTTAGCCTCTCAAAGTTCTGGGATTACAGGTGTGAGGAATTGTGCCCAGCTTGGCTGTTTATATTTCTCTTAAATGACTTTGAAGACAGAGAAGTGTCAGATTCATATTTTTATTTCCAGCACTGGGGAACACAGTATTCACTTAGAAATTGTCTACTGAATGAACGTCTAGTCTTTAAAATGGATAAATGGTGGCCAGAGATGAAAACAAGCTTCCTTTCCAATCTAGGAGCTCGAGCACAGGCCAGCCCTATGCCCTCTGGTCCTAACCACCTAGATCTAACAAGGGCCTCTCCTTTGGTGTAAGGGCCCTGCCGCAGCAAAGATGGAGGTGGCAAAACAAAAAATAAAAAGTGGAGATGGCCACAAGAATTCATCTGTCTGTGCTGGTCCCAGAGAACCAACAGGAAGACTTTCACAAGTCTGGTGCTCAGTGAT